GGTGTCTGATCTGAGCTCGCTGCTGTGCATGCATGTGTATGCACACGTGTGTCGTGATGGCCGGGGGATGGAGGTGCGTGTGTGCGCGCATATGTGTGTCGTGATGGCTGGGGACAGAGGCTGGCAGCGACTCCAAGGCCTGCCTTCCCACCCCGCTTACCTTCCCTTGGCACACAGCCCGGTTTCGAGGTCCTTCTGGGTTCACTCAAGACCCCTTGTCCCTGAGCTGAAAGCAAGTGGCGCATGTGGTAATTACAGCTGCCAGCTCTCACCTGGGGCCTCTCAGCTGCGACTCCCTTCTGTCTGGCTGAAAGCCGACAGGAAGCTGTTAGGCTGGAAGTCACGAGATGACCCGGGCTTTTCTCAGGGTCCCAGCAACACAGGCAATTCCGGAGTCTCCTAACAATTTGGGGGATTCAATAATAAAACTTGACTTCAGAGCAGTTTCAGCTTATGAAAAATGAAGCAGGAAGTACAGAAATGTAGAATTTTCTCTATCGTTAATGTCTCAATTACTGGGGCACATCTGTTATAAAATTGAGGAACCAACACCGATACAATATCATCAGCTGAAGCCCACAGAGTTCACCAGGGGCACGAGGGTTCCCTCTCTGAACTGCATACTCTCCAGGTTTGACCAAGCGTCTAGTGACAGGTCCACAGTCATACAGAGCACTGTCGGGGCCCTAAACACCAGCTCCGCCCTCCACTCTGAATCCCCGACAACAGCTCGGTCCTGACTGGCCCCACAGGTTCACCTCTCCAGGACATCGCAGCAGGCATTTTCCAAAATTGGGCCTTTCAGACTGACTTCCTACATTTACCAACATGCATCTAACTTTCCTCCGAGTCATTTTGTGGGGTAACAGCTTGTTTCTTTTGCTGAATAATATTCCACTGTATGGATGGTTCCATGATACTACGTAATAGCAATTTTAAAAGTTGTTACTAAATCACAGTGGTGTTTCAGACCCATCAGGGCAGACCTAGCTGTGGGTCCCTGGATGGGCGAGGGCCAGGGGAGACCCTGGGATGTGTATGTGGACACAGGAGCAGCCTGTGGGGGATAAAAACCGATGACATTTCATACAAGCTGCTACGTCTGACAACACAGAAGATGGAAAAACTCAATAGTGCGGAGCAGTGTCAGATTTCACCCGCTTTTCCTCGGCATTTCTAGCTTTCGTGTTTGTACTGACTACTTCTGCCACCCAGTTATTTTGGAAAAAGAAGACGAAACAAAACCACCGGAGAACCACATGACTTGTTCATGGAAAGAAGTGCTGCTGAGGGCTTCTTTCTCTCCTGACGATTGTGACTGGCCCAGCAACGGCTGGTGGCTGAAGCTCAGCCAAGGATGTCAGCAATGCCACCACTGCCCTTGGTCCTGCATGCTGTCTAACGCCTTTGCTTTGATTGTTCATTTATTGGTCTTCTGAGACTTGTGCTCATGGCAGAAGGGACTGCCTAGGTAACATGGCTCTCCTTCAAGCAAATGGAAACCTGAGGTGTGGGTGCTGTGCTTCCAAGGCTGAGGACAACCTGCCCCTCTCCTCTAGTCTGAAAAGCAGAGATAACTCCTCTTCTCAGCCACAAAAAGTGAGTGCCAGGATGGACTCCTCAAATACAGGCGAGGCAAACCACCTCGAGGGAGCTGGGTACCTGGGTCACACGCCCCCTTCCCTCCCAGCTGCTTGCAGTTTTCTCCCTACCACACAGCATGAAAGGGTTGGGAAAGTTAAGAGCAGGAGCCGAGGGAAGCTGTTGTCAGAATTAAGCCTTTTCACTGCCCTGCCTTGCTCCTGTCCCAGTCTAACGCAGGCCTCTCCACGACAGTGGGCTCTCGGCGAGTGCAGCTGCTTCAGAGCCAGGGACAGGAGAATCTCTAGGACACCTTCATATGCCCCAGGGACAATCACAATTGTCCCCAGTGTTCCCCTTTGGACTTCCACACTCCAATAGCAATAAGCAGTAAGGTTTCCCCGGGAGAGTGAACCCGTTTGGTCAGTAGTAATTCCATCTTTAGTCCATGCAGCACACGAGATCAATAATCCACTAAACACTTGAAAGAGGCTCATTTGGCTTCTGCTGTAAGATACCCATTCTGAATTTTGGTTCGTGCAGTTCCTCTAACAAGTTTAGCCAATGTGCAAACATATTTCCAAACAGCCTCCAGCACAGATTATTACCAAAAGACCAGAGAATGACGCAAAAGGAAGCCGTCTACGTAAGTGAAGCAAGCTGAGCCAAAGGAATCATCTGTGTGGCCTCAGTCGTGGAGATGGGTGCTATCCACAGGGCTGAACTCACAACTGCAGGCACTGACCATTTACTCTAGCTCACTCCTGACCAGACCCATGTGGGTCAAATCTTTTCATTCCAAGAGCTCCTACCCTAGCGCACACACACTCAGAGATGGCAAAGCCACCACCGCTTTCTCTCCTCTTTTTCGGTGGTGCCCACTGGCATGCAGCCCACTGGTGTAATTGGGACATCAGGGATAGTTAAGCCCCATGTATTTTTATGAGAAACAAGTCAATAATTTATGCGTCCCTATACTCTCCCATAGCAAAAATCCAGAGGAGTTGCAACTACACAAAGTTGATGCTGGGTAAGAGAAGAGCAGATGGTGAAGAACCCACTAAGCCATAATCAGAATTCCACCAAGGGGACCTTTTCTAGGCTTTTTCCAAATCACTTCTTTCTCCTCCCACCCATTGCAGGTAGGGGATCAGAGGACCAGCCCGTTGTTTTCATAGTCAGCTTCTGGAAATAAGAGTAATACAGGTGAGACTTGAATTCACCAGATTTCAGCCCTTGGCACTAACAGGGAACTTAAATAATCCATTGCCTAAACACCATGCCTTCCAGACTGCTCAAGTAGAATTAATCTAAGAAATAAACAGGAAAACTGAACTAGAAAAGCTTGATAACATGAACCAGGCCCCAGATGTCCTCACAGGTCATGCCAAAAGCACCAGAAACCAAACTTTCAGTTTTTCACAATGATTTCCCTCCACAGTACACAACTGGTATTCAAGGCTGTCTGCCAAAGCTTCAAAACATTACCAAATATAAATCAATCCTTACAGAAATAACTCTCTCTCTATTCATATAATTTTATGATCAAAGCTACTAAGAGCTTTGATACTAAATCCTTTACCAACTGGAAAGTTTCAGATAATGGACATTTTTCCTATTACAAATCTATTTCACAAATCTAGAAATCAGAAATAATCATTGGGGAGACACAATTAAGAGAGTTCCAACCCAGCACACACAGCCCCTCTGGACAAGTTCTCTGCCCTGTTAACCTACCAGCTTATCCAGGCATGTTTTGCATAGGTGTTTGCAGCACTGTCAAATTTTTATTAAAACCCAGGAAAGCTTGAGAATGGTTTTATTTATCTGCAAAATTTCAGCGCCTTTCTTAGAAATAGCAAATAGTTTATTTTATAAACTCAAGCAGTTTTTAAAGTTAAATTTCATTTCCCACGTGTGCATAAGAAGCCCATTTAGATTGAGATGACTTGTTTGAATTATCTAAGCCAAACTCATTTTTCTAACATAAAATTTTCTAGAAATGTGCTCAGAGAAAAATATTCCCAACATGTACTAAAATTCATATTTAAGAATCCCAGAATTCAAATTAGAGGTGATTCCGTTCTTCTAAATGCTCAATCTTGACTCATTTAATCCTCTACAAAATCCTCACAAGCCAATCAGAAAATTAATCCTTAGGATTTTAAAGAATATTGAAACACACTACACAGAGAGAAACAGCGTGACTCAGGATCTGGAGAAGCAGAGCATAGAGCTCTCTCCTCCCAGCTCTACAGAGGCAGTGTTTTATAGGAAGAGCTGCTCTGGCAGGAGAGAGAAGTGGGAGGTCGTTCCCCAGAGCAGGGGCTGTGCTAGTCCTGGCCTGAAGGCAGGGAGACACCACTGTGCCACCAGCAAGACACAGCCACTGGGCAGAGAACAAACTGTTCTTCCCAGTTGCCTCAAGGTAGAGTCCATGCAGCCCTCCGAGTCTTCCCTACACTCGGCTTCCAGATGGCTGCCTGGGGTACCTGCCTGGTCCATCCTCAGGGCCCTGCAGAACCTGAGGAAATGAGGGCCCACTCTGAGGCAGGCTGAGCGCTTAACAAATGAACTGCCTTATCTCAATCCAACTGGAGTGTCAGCTAGAAGTAGGAGAAAGGAAGAATCTCAAATTTTTCTTTGAAATAAGTTGACATTCTTGCTTTTTCAAAGGACACATTGCCTATCCCAAGAAGCTAGTCAGACGGTGACTCTGAACATATTTCAAAACCAACATATTCAGAGTATTTATCTTCTTTTAATTCCTTTTATCATCTGCAAGACTAACCATCCAAAGTAATAAAAAATCCCTAACTCCTTTTAACCACAAGGAGGTACTCAAACATTCCAGCAGATCACCTCCAAAACTCAGCTAAGAAATAACTTGTGCCAACAGTTACAAAAACAAAAAAGAAACTAGAGATTGAATGCTATCTGTTGCTATAAGTTAACTGCCTATGAAACAGCCAAAAGTCAACAACACGTGAGAGCAAAGTCCCCGTAAGTAGAATAATAAAGGCAGACATTCAACAATTGAATAGCAAGAAGATTCACCGGGGCAGTGGCCATGCATGGCTCCTTCTGCAGCCTCACTCCCCGAGCCAGCAGCTTGCACTGCACGAGGAGTAAGAGCAAGCCTTTGGTCTCTTCCATGCCCAGTCACGGCATGCAGGGTCTCCAGGCCCCCAGAGGACAGGAAGAGCAGGCAAGGACAACTGGCAAGCATGCGCCCGCAGTCATGCTATTCCCACCCATTCAATTACACTTCTGTGGACCACCCATGTTTAATTCAGCGATACAGACATGACAACAAGGTCTGAGATTTGAGGATGTACCTGACTCTCTCTCCCCTCCAGTGGTGGTGGAATCTGATCAGCAAAACCAATCTTCCCTGGATCACCCATAAAGGCACTAACCTCATCCACGTTCTCAAAAGCGTTGATGACGTCATATGGCAAACAGGACAGAAGGTCAATCACAAACCACGTCTTCAGGTAGTTCATGCGGATAAGTTTGGGGTCAGAAATCACCTCCCCTGCTGGTCCAACAAAGGTGGTATGAAAATTCAGCACAATGTCCACCAAAAAGATGACATCCACGATGCTGTCCACAACCAGCCAGGCCACGTTGTTCTGTCTGGTTTTAAAAGAGACGTTGTAAGGGACCAAGATGGCTGTGTAGAAAGTCAAGATCAAGATGATCCAGTCCCACGTGGTCTTAAACACACAATAGTGCAAGATGATGTGAGGGGGAGTCTTGGGTGCCTCTTGCTTGTACTGGGGAAGGATGTCTGAGCCCAGCTGCAGGACCTGCACAGAAACACATGGCCAGGAGAGAACTACATTAGAATTCAATTGCAAGCATCTACCCAGGCAGCATCTGCACTAACAAATTCTCATACTACGCTGTGTGGATCAGCAGCAGCACAGGAGCTGGAGGAGGGTGGGCGAGTGAGCGAACATGGTAAGGGAAGCAATCACACTGAAACAGCGACACATCATGTACAGCAAAATGTGTGCCAAACAGTGAACTAAGTACTCCATGTGCACTTGTCTTAAGTCTAAATACAACCTTTTTTAAAGACAGTTATTACATGTGACAGGTGAGAAACCACGGCTCGAGAAAATTAAGCAACTACCCAAAAAATATTTACTGCTCTGTGCCAGGAACTGGTCTCAGCCTCACACAGCAGGCAATAAAGGAAACATCACAGTGCCTGCTCTCACGGAGCGTGGTCTAGTACACAAACAAGAGCTGAGAAGGAGGCCAGGGACGGAGAACATAGGCAATCTGATAAAAAGGGAGTGGTGAGCGAGGCTGGAAGAGGACTTGACTGAAGCCTGAATAACAACAAAGAACCAGCCCTTCAGTTCTGTATGGAAGAGCTATCCCAGGCAGAGAACATTACCAGCGTCATGGCCCAGAACAAAGCCAGTTTAACATTTTTGGGAAGAGAAAGAAGGCAGTGTGGATGGAGTGCAGGGAGGGGACTGCAGGAGATGCCAGAGAAGCCTAACAAAGGGAAACAGAAGCCAGACCACTCAGACCTCAGCACAGCACGAGGCGGGGTCAGGCTTTATTCCAGTACAGCTCAGTGACACTGGAGGGTCCCAGGCAAGCAATACTGATCCGATGCATGTGTTTAAAAGATCGTGCTGGTTACTGTGTCAATAGTGAATTGAGACAAAAGATTCAAGGAAAAATAGGACCAGGGTATGGATCACAACCTAGGAGAAAAAGTCAGGTGGAGAAGAGCAGACTGATTCTGGACGTTTCTGAAGAAAAATCAGACTGGCGCTAGAAAGCAGTGCCGGGTGCCAACCCCCACGCTGTGGGCTCAGGTGGCAGTGGCTGTTTTAGGTGAATGAGTGAACTCCAAGGACTCAGAGCTAGAAACATGTGCAGCCAGGACCTGAAATTAGCTGAATTTAAAACATACTATTCTACCTCGTTCTATTTCCCTGAGTAACTTAGGCTGCAGAGGAAGCAGACTTGGTATAAGAAGGAGTCCAGAGAAGGTTGGCTCCAGGCAGGCACAGTGGCCCTCGCCTGTCATCCCAACACTCTGGGAGGCTGAGGCAGGAGGATCACAAGTCCAAGCCCAGCCTGGGCAACTTAGCAACTTAGTGAGACCCTGTCTCAAAATAAAAATAGGACCGTGGCTCAGTGTGAAGACCCTGGGTTCAATCCCCAGTGCTGCCAAAAGAGGAGGCAAAGGGAAAGGGGAAAGAGCAGGGGGAGGAGGAAGGTGAAGAGGAGGAGGAGGAGGAGAGGGGTGAGAAGGAAGCTGAGGAAGAGGACAGGAGGATGAGGAGGAGGATGGGGGCCTCCACGTGAGGACCATGGATGGCTTTACCAACAACAAAGGCAGAGGCTGTGCCTTCTAATAACAGGCAGCTGCAAGATTCCTCAGCTGCCTCCTTTGGACCACAGACAGGCTCTTACAGCCCTCAGGGTACAACCTTCTCTTACATCTTGGAGCTTCTTACCTCCACAGGTTGATGACCCTCCAGTAAACACAAACCTCCCTGCTTCCCAAATGGTTTCCCTGCCCTTCGAGGGTTCAAGAGGAAAGCTAGACGTGCACAGTGTCCAGCGTGCCTCCCTGGATGGGGGACCTCGTATCCCACCAACACAGCCCTTCTAGGCTGAGGATTTTCATTTCTTTCCTCCATGAAAAAGAACTTAAACAAGCATGATTAGGGAAGCATAGGCCCCAAGACCTTAGGCAGGAGAGAAGCCTGGACTGTAAGAAATAGAGCAAACAAGATTCCTGAATAGGACCTCTGCTTCTGAAAAGATGGAGTGCACAAGTACAACTAAGAGCCTGGACATTATCTATAAAACAAATATAAAAGAAGGCAAATTAGCTAGGAATAATAGCAGTGAGTTAGTGCCCAGAGTTTTCTTTTTAACTTCCATTGTTCTCAGACTTGAACTGAAGAAGTGAGCAACCTGGGCCAGGGCCCACCGCCTGCCTTCCAAGCACAAAGTCCCGAGTTAGATTCCCCAGTTCACTGCCCCCAAAAAAGAAAAAAGTGAGGAACCTGAGAATACCAAGGTTTGCAAACAAAATAAATAAATAAATAAATAAATGTCCCAAGAAAAGGCCATTCTCTCCTGCCAAGGGAGAGGGAAAGGACAGACCAAGCAGAGAACATGCTTCTAGACTGCTCTGCCACGGCCACACACTCCAGAAATGGTTGCAGGCCTGCTCCCTCAGAGAACCTGACTTCCCCCCTTCGCAAGGTACAGTGAAGCAGTCAACCCCACCACCCCAACCCCAGGAGTCCACGGGGCACAGGAGGCCCTGGCAATAGCCTGGACTCCCACCTTCACCCAGTAATAGCAAGAGCAAATCAGAGGAGACCTGGTAGACAGACAGTGCTTTCACAACTGCTCAGCAGAATGAGGCCACCGCCACTCCCCTACAATCCAAGGGACATCATGGTCACCTTGGTGGAGAGCTGGGACCACTCTCGCCCTACCAGTAATCAGAAGGAGCACCCCCTTCAGATGTCAGTGAAGGCCAAGTGGAAAGTTTGCACTTTTACCCTGATTCGGCAAAAATGTGAACATACCTATACCTTCTTCTGCCACATAAATGTTAAAGTCTCCTAAAACAAAAGCTCTGTATAAGAACCAAGTCTCATAACTTAATGCTCAAATACCTAGGTTTTAATTTTTTAAAATCACTCATTATATGAAAAACCAAAAAGAAAATCAAGCTGAATGAAAAACAGATAATCTATATCAACACTACAGTGACTAAGATATTGGAAATATCTGACAAGATTTTAAAAGAAATCATAAATCATAAAAATGCTTTAATAAGAAAGTATGAACAAGTTTGAAAAAAGAGGAAGTCTCAGCCAATAAGGGGAAGATACAAAGAAAAACCAAATGGAAATTCTAGAACCAAAAAATACAATAACAAATATTTAAAAACTCAATGGGTACATTCAATAGCAGAATGGAGGGGATGGAGGTAAGACAGTAAACTTGAAGATAAAACACGATTGAAATTACTTTAACTATTGCTCTATAATAGACATTATTTTGCAACAGTGACAGAAAACATATCACATAATGAGTAAAGGTCCATCCACCCACAGGAAGACAATGGGACCCTAAGGTGCCTGTGCCCAAGAGCTGCAAAATGTGGAACAAAGACCAAGAGACCTGAGGATGGACACAGGGCCACAACACAACCAAGAGAAAAATTAAACAAAAAGTTATCAAGGACCAAACACCAGTAAGATCTGACTACATTTACAGAACACTCTCCCCAGCAGGGGCAGAATACACATTTTCTCAGGGCACAGGAACATCATCCAAGGTACACCGAATGCCAGTCCACAGAGCAGACCTCAACAAGTTTAGCAGAATCAAAATCATAGGGATGCACACCCTACTTCAATGGAGCCAAGCTAGAAATCAGTCCCAGAAAGGTAACAGGAAAATGTCAACACACTTGAAAGCTAAAGAACATACTATGTAATAATCCATAGGCCAAAGACAAAGTAACAAGAAAAAATTTTAATGAATTTAATGAAAATGAAAATTCAGCGCACCAAAATTCATGGAAAACAGTTTAAGGAAATAATGTAGGGGAATTGTATAGCACTAAATATTTACCTAAGAGAAAAAGCTTTAAATTAATAATCTAACCTGTCATTAAGATTCTCTAAAATGAAGGGTAAAATAAAACTAAAACAAGCAGAGGGAAGGAAATAATGAAAGGCAAAACTCAAATTGAAAGCAAAAAAGACAGAAAATCAATGATCTTTCAGAATATTCATCAAATTAAAACAGTATTAAGCTGAGAGTAGAGCTCAGTGGTAAATCACATGCTTAGCATGCATGGGGTCCTGGGTTCAATCTCCAGCACCAACAAATAAAAAAAATATAAAATACAAATAACATCAACTAACCTATAGTAAGACTGAAAAAGAGAAACAGACAAGACACAAATGCCAAAATCGAGAATAGAACAGGAGATATCACTATAAACCCTGGAGACAACAAAACAATAACAAAGGACTGCTACAAACAACTCTACACACAGAAGTTTAACTACTTAGACAAAACAGACCTCAGAAAACAAATTACCATAGCCCACAGTCCTGGCAATGAAGGGAATTGAAGTCATGATTTTTAAACTTCTAAAAAAGATGATTTTAATGGACAATGGTTACAAAGTTTATAGAATAACAGTAATTCTCTACAATCTCTTCCAGAAAATGGAATCAGAAGGAACTCTTCTCAACTCATTTTGTGAAACTAATGTTACCTTGATTCCAACGTCAAAGACAGTATTTTTAAAAAAAAACTACAAATATTCCTCATAAATACTAAGGCAAAAATCCTTAAATAGCAGCAAATCGAATTCAGCAATATTTCAAAAGAATGACCAAGGCAGTATGCTCCACGAACCCAAAGCTAGTTCAACATTTGAAAAAAATAAAATCAAAGTAATCTCATAATTGATCATTATCATGATTATATCAGCTGATACAGAAAAAAAGAATTTGACATGATACTCATTCATGATGTATTTTTTAAAAACTCTCAGAAAAAGCAGGCACAGGGGGAATTTCCTAAACTTAGCAAACACCATCTACCAAAATAACCCTAACAGCCTACACTAGACTTCAAAGTGAAGGACTCAATGCTTTCCCCTCAAATGAGGAACAAATCTCTCACCAGTTTTATTCAACCCTGTACTGCCACTACAATAAGTAAAAAAGGAAATAAAAGACATCTAGAGTAGAGAGAAATGATGAAACTGTCTTCATTTGCAAATAAC